CCTGGCCGATTTGTACAAATCGGAGGCGCCCGGGCACCGCCTAGCGCCTAGGAGCCGCCTAGGCGGCCGCCTAGGCCGACTTTTAGAACAGTGGTTTTAACTCTACATGTGGATATGAATTTCTAAGAACTTACAACGAAATTTTGCGCTAGTAGTGTTTGACGCGTTGATGACAATTTAACAAGAGCAAAATACAATATAAAGGACAATGGAAGTTAACTTTTTTATAGTTGTAGAAAAGTTATAAATCATGTTCAAACTAGAGCTGAGCATGGAACTCGGAGAATTCCGAACTGTTTTGAAAACTGAATCGAAATCACTCCGAGCCGAAAAATAACCGTTGACCTTTTGACTTTTTTTCCGAACCGAACCGAACAGAAAAATAATTGGTACGATTCTGGAGATTTCATAAATATTCGTACCGAGAACCGAACGGAACCGTCCCGTATCATACCGAAATTAAGAACCGAATTATAAAAATAGATGTAAAATTTATTAATACATTTTATGTCAACCTTTGATCTTATATAATTTGAGAATTTTTAAAATGCAAATAAAATATAATAATAACAATTAAGCTTCACTTAAATTTTTTACTTTGTAATGCTTGATCTACAATTGAAATTTTCCTGTTTTAAAATAAAATATTTAAAATGATGAAAAGAAATATTTTAAAAAAATACTTAAAATTTACTTAAAGTTTTATCGATACTTAGTAGTATTCTATTTTATAACTAACATGGTAAGAAAGGTTAAGGATATATAATTTTAATAAAAAACAATGTTATATTTTGTTTGAACTTTGAAATTTCAATGTTAGTTGTACAAATTTAGTCTTAACAAAATTTAGAGCTACTTATAAAGTTAATTTAAAAATTTAGGCTTAATTTTGCAGGATATTCTTTCAAAATTGGAGCCTAAATTTAGGAATCATTTATTTAATTAAAAAAAAAAAAATCTGTGCCAAAAAATAAAAGAAAAAAAATTGATGTGGACAAGAATCAAACG